TCTATCATTTCACTGTGTGGGGAATTGGCAAATTGGCGCCCCTGCTTGCTGAGAAGGTGCCGTGCACAGAAGCTGTGTGAGAAGGGGAGCGGGGCGCGGCGCGGGGGACAGTTCGCCTCTGGGTCTCTCCCAAATGGAACGGACAGGGACAGAAGGGGGGGGGGACGGGGGATCCACTGTATAGAGCAATGCTCTAATGGAATTAGTGGGCTAAAGTCAGTCACACCTCGACTTTCTTCCAAATAACGCATATTTCATTCATAATATTATAAATTCAGGCCTATAGTTCCTGCACATTTTTGTTTTTCTGAATTGTGTGAAATGGCTAATAAAAATAGGTAATACAAAACGATTATGTGGTCACCAAGGTGAATTGGTTTAGTCTTGACTTCTGGTCGTGCGTGACAGTGTTGTTGGGGGGATGGGAAATCTGTTGATTGTCGAGTGCCAAATAAACACAGAGATGGACAGGAAAAGGTCAAAGCCATCAGGTGCCCAATTTAGAAAAAAAAGAAAAGAAGAAGAGGAGAAACGAGCAAAAGATAAAGGTATGCAACTATGTTCTCTCTGTATGATTATTACGGTATCCATGTCATGAATGAAGGGCTAATGTTAATTGGTGGGTATAACTCTTAAGTTTGTTAGCCTTTTTGCTATGATGCTTGCTATGCTTATACAACAATAATTCGGTTTTAACTCAACAAACACGAGATCTAATTTCACCATAATATTGTGCTTTGCAACAAAACTGTTACAAGTTCAGTTATTATTTATTTCCATCAGTTGGGTTAACGTTAGGCCCTGTAATTAGCCAACGGAATTTTCAAATCTGTGTAATTATAATTTAAATCGGACTACTTTTCAAATTGTATTTCATAAACCAACATCTCAGACGTTATGTCAAAACGTTATGGGGTTTCAAATCAAAAAATGACTTTCTGTTACAGAACAGGGCATTGATTTCATACATGTCCACTGTAGAGGACATCAGGACTTAAATCATGTTTATCAGGCATTTTGGGAGACACAACAAGTGAATATGGAAATAAATTATACATCAATATTCCTATGAAATATTAGATATTATTATTAAAATGTTGCCAATTATTACTCCAATTATTACACTTCTTTTTTCATTAAATGTTGCTCCAAGAACACATTAATATGCAAATTAGATACAGTGTATAGTGTATATTTATTTAAGTTCTGATAACTTATACTGTCATATTTTGTGCAGAATTGTGTTCATTGTCTTTTGGCAATGTTGGAGGTGGAGATTGTGCACCTTAAAAAGTGTGTTTCCTGTTGTAATTGCAATAGTTAAATAACTGGATTCTCTTAAGTGTGTTTTTCAAATGTTCTAATGAAGGATTTGTGCAATTGAGAAATATAATTTTCTCTTTCACTTATGTTGTTATAATAAAATATAACTGTTTGTGCAGAATTTTTTTGGGGGGGGGCGCTCGAAGGGGGTCTCGCCCAGGGTGTAATTCAATGTAGAACCGCCACTGCATGAAACCCCCCGTTTCAGCACTGGTCAGTTCTCACAACAGTTTTAAAAAATGTGGGCGTGGTGCGGGGGGGAAGAGGGGAGACAGACAACACACACACAGCTTAGCGTTCTGACAGTTTCATTTCGAGTTAAAAACACAAATAAAGGCACAGCCATTTGCACTCTGCATCGAAAACATATATATGAACGTGCTGTTGCACCTCTGAGAACTTTCAAGGCTTATTCTGTGGCGTTTATATAAGCCTTTTGACGGGTTGTGTAAAAACGGTTATGTGAATGAATCGCGTTTGTGCCGAACTCTTACTACAAACCAAAAACAAACACTCTTCTTCGATCCATGAACGTTTCTCAGTTATTGTGCCCGATGTCATCTCACAGACTCGTCTGTGAGATGATGAAACGTCTGTCATAGCAACATGCTGTTGTGAATAAATAAGCGAACCGTCGAGGATAAGAACACGCAGTCTCATTAATAATTTACGCCCCATTCACACGGGGCATCAGCGTTAACGCTTGACGGAGGGCGTTTCTGAAGCGTGGTGCTGACGCGACCGTCATAGTGACAACAGCCAATCACATTAGTCTTCTGGTGTTGCATGACTAGCATCTGCGCTAGGGTATTTGCATAAGGTCATCTGATTGGCTGACGCCTGCGTTGGCGCTTGAAAAGTTTTCAACTTCTGCCACGAGGTCTGAAAGAAGAAAGTCATATACACCTAGGATGCCTTGAGGGTGAGTACTTCATGGGCTAATTTTCATTTTTGGGTGAACTAACCCTTTAAGCGTACGCTTAAAGGGTTAGATCAAAAGATCAAATCTGATCAAAGATCAAATCTGAGCATACGCACGCTTTATAAATGAGGCCCCTGATCTCTATATTTCCTTCCAAGCAGTGGTCAGCTGTTGATACTATCATCTGCAGCTCTTAATGTGAAGCGTTAACATCTTTAGTGGGGGAGAGAAACAATGCGCCAGGAGTAGGAAGGGCTTGAATGAAGCAAGCATATTTTTAGAGTATATAGCATCAAAAGATTATTACCATAAATTACCCTGAGTGCTTTGAGGAGTGTACTGCTCCATTGTTTTGATGCACTGCTCACATTAAACAGTAGAAATGGTTAAATGGTGCTACTGTTGTCTTTAGGTTTCACAGTCCAGTTGGAACCAAGAACCAGAAGACGGTCTGCTATTTGAGGACCCTAATGTAGACTGCCATATAGGACAACACAACAAAAAATGACTGTCTTCACCTTTAATGAAGCCTGTGAGATGCAGTTTGAGAGATTAAATGATCTGGTCAGCTGTGATGTCTCTGGACTGACAGTCATTTGACTCATAAAGCAGGAACATCACAACAAATGCACAATTAGACCTTCTAATCTTTTGCTTTACACATACACCTTCCATAACATACATTTTCATGACATCAATGTATAAATCTAAATAACTGAATCTAAAGTAGTTGGCATTTCTCATTCACTTAACATGTAATTTTATACAATATCTGACAAGATCTGAGAGACACCGTTAACAGTGAATAACACCACTCACCCCAAAATTATTGCAAATATTACAAAATTATACCCAAGGTCAGAAGGCCATACAAATAAGGAAAATATATGTAATCATTTAGAGAACTGAACTGGTGTGGTCTTGTCTAGTTGTGTTCTGGTACGGTCAGTAAAGCATCCTCTGGATCTCTGTCCACATCCACATTCTGAAACATCACAACATGATGATCAGTATCACACAAATCCACATCTCAAACAAAGACAGGAGGCTGCTAAAAAGTAGAGGATAAAATGTGCTTAAATTAACATTTGTAAATGCATCTTTGTCATGCATTTGTAAGTTCCCTTCTCTAATAATGAAGGATGTACCAAATACTGTTGTTATATGTTCATGCACGATTACAAATCTGATGAATATAAACTGTATTTACTCAAACACATCATGATGGTGCACTTTCAGATGACCATTCAGAGTCCATTCACGTGTTAAGATTGGATTAATTAGAAACATTCATGAATTTAAGTAAAGATGAAAACATGTTTTGGAAGTCACTACAGAACCACAGAACCTGTGACATTACCTGTATTTGTGCAGCGCAAACAACATTACTGCATGTAAAAAACACATACAGCACTGAGTGGAAACAAGATTCGATTTGTTTTGTTGAGTGGAAATTTCAGAATGGCATCTGTACCATACGGTGGCCGAGAAGTGCGAAGCAAATCACAATTCTGAAAACAAAATAACAAATTACAAACGCAAATGCAAGTCTAAAAAACAAAATAACAATTCAGAAAGCACAACAACAATTCAGAAAACATTATAACAAGTCAGAAAACACAATGACAAATCCGAAAACAAATGAACAAGTCAGAAAACACAACAAATCAGACAAACCGGAAAAGGTAGGTATAGTTTGAGACAACGCCATTGGTTCGATCGACCCGGGTTCGATCCCGCCTTTTGCCGAACTTTTTTTT